TTGCAGGCTGCACACACCCCTCCTGCTTTGCCACCCCCCTGCCAGCAGCATTTCTGGGCCCTCCCTGATGGCTCTGCTGTCCCCCAGCTCTGGCTGTTCCCTGGAACACAAAGCCATGGGCTGGTCCAGACTCCCTCTGGGTGACCTCTTGCACCACAAGGGTCCCCCTTGAGCAGCATTCCTTTTTCCGAACCTTCAGTCCGAACATTCCATGCTGCTCTTTGTGGAGATTTCATTCCATTCCCAATATGGAGAAAAGCTCCATCCTGGCAGGTCTCCTCTAGACACTCTCCAGTTCTTCCTCATGCCTCCAGACAGAGCAGTCCAGATGTGGTGACCCCAGGGCTGAGTCCAGGGGGGGTGACAACTCCCCTGTCTGGGTGCCCACACTACCCCTAAGGCAGCCCCATGTGCAGTTGGCCTTTAGTCAAGGGGCCGTTCTGATTCTTTGTAAGGTCAGGGAATCGAGTGGCAGTGGGACACTGCTGGGCCTCCTGGAACCAAAGGAATGCAGGGACACTGTGGAATGTCCTGGAACCAAGGGGCCACTGTGCCTGCCCAGCACTCCATGGAATCAAGCAGAGCCGCTGCCTCCCCCCCGCCGCCGCACGGACCGGAGTCGCCGGCTCTGCCCCGCTTGGACCCCTCTGGAGTCAGCGTGTTCTTGGGAAGCACAACTGAGCTCAGACCAGAGAGTCTCCCAGAGTTTGCTTTGGCCCCTCTTTCCCCTGGGTTTGGTGTTTTGTTTTACCTCCTTGTATTTTGTCTCCCTGTTTTGGTAAGGAATAAAAGGAGAGTGAGTTCATTTTTTTAGAGTTCCCACCCCAATATGTGTCTTTAAAGCAGGACAGGTTGCTCAGGGGCTACCTTAAATTTGGCATTATGCACAGAGACTTGAAAACACATTTTATCCCATTGTATAGAGAGATAATATAGATGTTCTCTAGTGGTGTTCAAGGGCTGGTCACTGAGGGATTTTATCAGGAATTTGCTGCCAAGATGATTTTGTACCATGGATTTTATTGGACATTCTTCATTCAGCCAACTTTCCAACAACCACATTTTCCCCTTCCTGAGTCCAGCTCTAACCAGTTTGGTCTAAGGAGACCAAAGGAGACCATATTAAGGGCCTTGGTAAAGTCTGAGCACAAAACATCCCCTTCTTTTCCCTCCCACAGGGGTTCTGCAATGCCTGCCTTGTCCTTCCCATGCCTGGCAATGGCTGCAGGAGGACTTGCCATGTCCCCTTCTCTGCTGAGCCTGAGCAGTCTGGAACTCTGCCAAGCCTCCTTGCTGCCCTGTTTGCAGACTGGTTCCATGTCTGCCTTTGCCAAGGCCCCAGGAACCTCTGGGATGGCTCTGGCCTTTGCAAGGGTTTAGGAGAGGTCTCCCAGTGACACATCCCAGCCTTCTCAACATCCCTGACACCAAAATCCCACACTAATTCCTTACACCAAGAAAGGGGCTCAGGAGGCCAGTGTGGAAGTGGAAAGAGCAGCTCTGCAAAGACAAGCTCTGCTGCTCCCTGGCAGTGCTGCTGTGCTGGGATTCTTGTGCCCTTCCCCTTTGCAAATCCCTCCTGTCCTGCAGTGTGCTGTCCTTTAGGAACAGCTAAGAAGAAGGGTCTTGGACAAAGAGGGCACTGCAGGGTCCTTTATTTTGTTTAAATACTCCGAGAGCACAATTCATCATTTATACACCTCTGGGTAAAATTCAATGGGTAGACACTAAATTAGAAGGGAGATGCATAACAATATTTAATTGCACTGAAAATTATTGCAAGAAAAACCCGAAGACTTCACCCAAAAACGTGAGAAGGCAGGTTGGGGCACTAGTGAGATCCATTCTGAATGCTACACACGAGAAACCAGGCAGTTTGATGCTTTGGAAAAGCATCCAGTCATCATTTTCCTTATGGCATCCCTGAGCTCCTGGTTCCTCAGGCTGTAGATGAAGGGGTTCAATGCTGGAGGCACCACTGAGTACAGAACTGACAGAGCCAGGTCCAGGGATGGGGAGGAGATGGAGGGGGGCTTCAGGTAGGCATATGCTGTAGTGCTGACAAATAGGGAGACCACGGCCAGGTGAGGGAGGCACGTGGAAAAGGCTTTGTGCTTTCCCTGCTCAGAGGGGATCCTCAGCACAGCCCTGAAGATCTGCACATAGGAGAAAACTATGAAAATGAAACAACCAAACCATAAAAAGGAAATAACCACAATGAGCCCAAGTTCCCTGAGGTAGCCTGAGTGTGAGCACGAGAGCTTGAGGATGTGTGGGATTTCACAGAAGAACTGGCCCAGGGCATTGCCCTGGCACAGGGGCAGGGAAAATGTATTGGCTGTGTGCAGCAGAGAATATAGAAACCCAGTGGCCCAGGCAGCTGCTGCCATGTGGGCACAAGCTCTGCTGCCCAGGAGGGTCCCGTAGTGCAGGGGTTTGCAGATGGCAACGTAGCGGTCGTAGCACATGATGGTCAGGAGGAAATACTCTGTGGGGATGAAAAAGGTAAAGAAAAAGAGCTGAGCAGCACATCCTGTGTAGGAGATGGTTGTGGTGGCCCAGAGGGAGTTGTGCATGGCTTTGGGCACAGTGGTGCAGATGCAGCCCAGGTCTGTGAGGGAGAGGTGCAGCAGAAAGAAGTCCCTGGGGGTGTGCAGGTGCTGGTTGCAGGCTACGGCGCTGAGGATGAGGCCGTTGCCCAGGAGGGCAGCCAGGGAGATGCCCAGGAAGAGCCAGAAGTGCAGCAGCTGCAGCTCCCGCCTGTCTGAAAATGCCAGCAGCAGGAACTGGGCCATGGAGCTGCTGTTGGACATTTGCTGCCTCAGGGTGTGGTTTTCTGTTGAGGAGGAAAAGGCAGAACTGAATTAGGCCAGACTCAATAAGCAAAACATATTGCATGGCAGCAATTCAGCATTCAGGGCCTCTTTTCAAAAAGATCTCTCTGCATCCCTCTCCCCTGAGCTCTGGGCTTTGCTGCCTGAAGGGAGCACTGAGAGCAGGGACCCTGGAATGGGCTCCTGAGGAATCCTTCTTGCTGTGCAGTGAGAGGCAACTTGGAGCACAGGGTGACCTCCAATTAAATGTATTTGGGATGTGTCCCAGTTTTTCCAGGACTGCTGTTCACAGTTTGCCCAAGTGAGAACAGAGGGAGGGGATTTGGGTACTTCATTTTGTTCCAGTTCCTCCTGCCAGGAGTGAGTTTGGATGGTTGAAATCTTTGGCATTTCTAATGTGCTCCAAGAGCTGACCATCTTTTC